AGTAGTCAACCGAAATGTGACTTCAGTCGTCGATACCGATATTTAGACAGCAGGTTGACTGCAGTTTAGTTTAGGTAACTTTAAATTTTAAGTAATGTGGTGTGACCGAAGAATTCAGGAAAAAAACAAAACAAAACAGGAAATGATATATCATAGAGATGACCCCTGGTAAACGTCAGTAAGTCCTAAAATGTATTATATAGTGAACAGATGCATTTTAAATAATTGCTAAGATCTTCATTGGCCAAATAAATTAACTTTTCACAAAAAAATAAAATTCACTGTTTTTTGATCCTGACACAAAACGACAAGCTAACATTAATTGACTAATCATATCAGCAGCACATGTGAAAATGTGATTGAGTACTAGTCAGGTAAAATCACCATCATACTAAATAGACTGTAAGAGCAGACTGATGGGGGGAAGAAGCGCTTCCAATCACTGTGTTCTTGTTAGCAATGGTTACCTCCAAAGAAACACGTGCAGCCATCAGCGCTTTGCATCAAAATGGCCTCGCATGTAAGGAAATTGCTACAAAGAATATTGCACCCGAAAGAACCATTTACCGGATCATCAAGAACTTCAAGGAGAGAGGTTCGACTGCAGTGAAGAAGTCTTCAGGACGTCCCAGAGTGTCCAACGAGCGCCAGGACCGTCTCCTCCTGAGGAGTCAGCTACTTTAAAACTTATGATATGCTTATCATTGTTTTTCAGTATACCATAGAAACATGTGGGAAAATAATCTACAAATACTGAAGCAGCAAACTTTGCAAAACACAAAATTTATATATATATATTATTATTATTTATTTTTTTTACGATTAAGATGTATATTTACATGTGTTAAAAATGTAAGAATGTAATATTTTTCATATATTACATATTATATAAATTCTATATATGTTATGAGAAATATATTACTTTTTATGTGATGGTTACATTGAATTGCAGTCATTACATCGAAACTTTTCTTGAAAATTAAATAACAAAATTCAAAACCATATTAAAACAACATCAATACAAAGAACTTGACACATTTGTTTTGACAGCCATTCACACCAAGGATGATAATCACAGCTTTAACTTTAACTACAAAGTTTTAATAATTGTTCTAACGCTATAAGAATAAGCTATAACGATAATGAAACAAGAACAATATTGTTAAAATTTCTTTCAGAAAAGTGTTTTTCCAGATAATCTGTCTGTGTTTTAATAACTGGATGCAGATTTACATAACACTATTTCTCATCTTTAATAAATGTCAGTTTGGGGCAAGTAGTCATTTTATTGGGGCTAGATGTTATGTATTAAGTTAACCCATTTGTTAAACATTTACTGTCCAAAAAAGTGTAATTTTTGTGTCAACTTTTCTATGAATTGTTTTGTGTTTTATGGTTGTTTTACTGTTAAAATTGACCTTAAAATACTACTTGTTAATGGCAAATGGATTACCATTTGTAATCCTTGTAAGGATTGACCATGTAAGGTCAACATTAATAATGCTGGAAATGTTCATATGCCTTTTTGTAGCGAAAAAGTGTGACCCACAGTGTCCCCTGTAGTATTTTTCCTGTAATTTCCAACTGACAATGGAGTTTAATAATACCAACAGCCAATCAGAAGCTGCCTGATTTAAAAAAAAAACTCAAACATTTAAAGCGGCAGGCACATTTACAAAAACCCCCAGAACATTATCGTCTGTTCACAGTGCGACCAGGCTTTTAAACTAGATTTTTACTTTTGATTTATCGTATTTGTCCCTGATACTCGTTTTTTTTTTTTTTTAAATGTGTCTGAAGACATCTTGCCTTCATATGGGTAAGCGCATGGCCCTTCACCGGCCGCCCCGTAAATCCTCCACTGATGCAGAGCGGCCCTATTCGCCACCACTTTAGAGTCCACCACCGCTAACTTATTATTCATCGCTCCATACAACATGCTGCCCCCACAGCGCCACTACATGGTTGGGAGGGAAACGTCACACTCAAAGATGCCCACGTCAGGCTGCAGCAACTTGGTCGTGTTGATCCCTAGACATCGATTGGTGCCCAGATTGTAGAGACGGTGCCGGGACACCCATTTCCAAAGCAGGGCGGCAGACGGGGGCTCACAGCTGGTCAGAGACAGACTGGACGAGTCCGCTGAGAGGCAAAGCTTCCACGACCCGCTCTCCAACTGGAAAAAACCTTTACCTGAGTCACACAAACACAGATGCACAACAACATCATACATGGCCATTTTTTAATTGGTCAAGCTAAAGCATATTTTCTTGTCGTGTCAAATACACTTGGGAGATGTGAGGCCCTGGGGTTTTTGACCAGTGGGAAAAGCCTTTCTTTAGGAGTATTATATAGCCATTTACATGCAGAGCCATGTTAGATTATAAAGGCCAGTGATATTGGAGATTCGAAGGCATTCAGAGGCACTGAGGTATCAGACAGGCCTGATTATGCAGCGAACAGATAGAAAGATAGAGCTGCTATCTCCAGTTTCACATCCACAGAATGGGGCTTAATATTTCAGAGTTCTCAGAGCCGTCAGGGCTGAGGGTCTTTTGTGGGTGTTGACACGAAAGAGTAATTGAAGATACAGGGTGAAGACAAAGATATTCTCAAACAGTCGAACACACAGGGTATCGTCAAACTTCAAAGGGAAGCTACGCATTATCCTCGCCATATGTCTGAGAGCAGGAATAAGCTTGGAAGAATAGGAAGTATGGGATTTTCTTGTCTGGTAGTGATATTTCTATTTAGCATATGCTGGGAATGGGAATAATAAGTTAAGATATTAAGGGTGAATACTAGTAAAGTATGGCACATTCTGATCATTTTTTATCTGCAGTGTTTTCAAATATGTTAATAAAGCGGCTTACTCCCTCACACAATCTTGAAATGGAAAAGATTAGATTCACAGACAGAAGCCTGAATTATTAAAAATATCAAATAAAAATATAAAAATTTGGAGCCCTATCCTGAAACACTTTATTGAGACAAATATGTCCTTGTGTTTTCTGTACCTTTTTTCTATTTTTATATAGCCTATATGTGTGTGTGTATATATATATATATATATATATATATATAAACACACTCTAGTTTGGGCACCAAGTCTCACTATTAACCATTGAGTATGACTTTCGCCTCAATAAACTGCTTAACAGTTATTAATAGTTAGTAAGGTAGTTGTTAGGTTTAGGTATGAGGTAGGATTAAGGGATCTAAAATACTGTCATGCAAAATAAGGCATTAATATGTGCTTTGTAAGTACTAATAAACAGTTATATGCTCGTAATAGGCAAGCTAATAAGCAATTAGTTTTGCTCCCTAAACTAAAGTGTTATACAAATATGTTTGTTGTCATTCACTTATCATTAAGTCATTATAAATATGTTTCTTCTGTGGAATACAAAAGACATTTTGGGGTGAATGTGTCCTACTATACGTACCTGCATTGCTCCTCCTTCTTGAAATAAAACTGAATGTGTTCCACGACATTGAATAGCTCAGTGACAGATTAATCATTTCCTATGTGAGATCATAAAACCCTCTGGAACCGCAAGATCCAAATGGGGCAGGTAGAACGGGTTGTTACCGGTCTGAGTGAGGGTGTAGGTGTGTGTTTATGCATGTGCTGACCTCAGCTGACCCTGTTTATAACCAGCGGGGTGACACAATGCTGGTTCCCAAGTAACGCACATTATGATAAATGCATACCTGGAATGCAATGCTAGTCACTTTGGATTAAAGCATCTGCCAAATGCATGAATGTAAATGCAAATGCTCTGGGACTGTAACGAATCAGGCTGTTGGACAAACTTCAGAATCCCACTGTGTCCTTCAGCGGGGGTAGTACTTGTGACATTCCATTCATTAGAGGAGAAGTCATGCACTATACTGTATTGTCTGCAAGAATTGCTCAGTTTGAAAGGCTTTAAGAGAAATGTGGACAAAATGGCAATGCACAAAAACATGTTTAACAATGCATTGAATGTTCATTAATTGTAAAGAAAATATATGGAATCTAAGCTTTCAATCTTTCAGTCTATTTAAAGTGTATTGACAAACAGACAGAAAAACAGATAGATAGATAGATAGGTCAACATGTTTTCAATAACTTTTTTGAAAAAGACAGCTTTTTTGTGTCCAGGTCTTTGAGGTATAGGCCTGTACAAAAACAAACCTGCAATGAAAATATTCTTAATGTAGCCTACTTTTTAAAGTTTTGTCCAAACGGCTTCTCTGTTGTGTCATGTGATGAGCAGCAGCCAATCGGTTTGTTTGTGTGCGGTTACAGTAAACTTGCACTTGCACTTACTGGACAGTTCGAGAAGTTGAGTTTTGTTCCAAACTTCAGTTTTGTCCCACACTTCCGCAGCAGCACAAGCTAAATGACTGACATAAAACAGCATATAAAAGACAAGAGTTTGAGCATGTCCTCGCATTTCCACTGGAGATGAGCTCGCCGCATAGACTGCAGCCTGTTTTTCACCACACTTTCCCTACGAAAGGGATTCTCTACGTCACTGGTCTCTCTAAAAGGCCAAACATATTCCTCTCCTCTTACAGCCCGCCTACAGTGTGCAGTGTCTGACTAATCGATTATTGTGAAACCATGTATTTGGCCAGAAAGTGACCAATGGCGATAATTATATTAAATATTCCATTAAATATACAGATTATGTTTTAACTCACTGTACTGCACAGAAGCTGCACCTGAAGTGATTTATATTACACGAAAAGGGGGATTTACACTGTTTAAGGCTGCACAAAGCATCACATATGCATTTACACAGTTTGCAGAAATAATGTTATGACTTAATATTTTAAATATTAAACCATTAACACTTTCGATCACAGTGCATGCAGCCTTAACTTGACTGTGTGAAGATGCATATAGAGAGAAGTAATGTGAAACTCAAAAAATTTTTATGGAAAACCATCAAATATATTACAAAACACAAGTAGACAAGACTTTTTTTTTCTTCTTTTTTTACATTTGATCCAGCAAAAGCCATAATTAATCATATCTAATTACAAAAGGCTCAGCCTCAACTAACCAATCACAAACATCTGTCACAAATAACTACATTTTGCTGCAACAACCACAAGAAACGCTAAATGTAAAACAAGAAGATCCAGTGTTGCCCAGATTTAACAGTACCTTTAGCACTTTTAGCAGCACAACACATTGTTTAAATTATTTACAGTTTTTAAAATAAATTCCCTGCCAGTATCTGACAGTCCTGCCCCCAGCTTACAAGCACACACACACACACACACACACACACACACACACACACTCTCTCTCACTCACTTGTACAGTACAAGAAAATAAATCATTCATAAAAAGTAATTGCTCCTGGTAAATAGAAGCCTGCATTTTGTGTTTTAACACACAAAGGTGGTCAGTAGCCCTAAGAAATATCCCTCTTCTGCTGCCCTGCGCTTTTGTAGGTCACATTTTTAAAAGTTGATGTCGAGCTCCTGAAAAGAGGATTTGTGCCCTGGGGACAAAAGAGGGATAAAACAGAGTTATTTAAAGTATATTAGGCTTTTAACACATTCAAATAAACAGAAAATTCAGTGTAATGCTCTCTTGACAATGTTATCATACCGACTGCCATTTTGCTTTCGCCTTCTCTGCCTCAAACTTGGCAACCTCTTTCCGGTCATGGACAGAAACAAGAAACTTCCAGATCACAAGGAGAGTAATGCCAATAATGAGGACAGACATGCACACGCCCAGAGCGATCAACAGTGCGTTTGGCGGCTCAGGGCAGTCTGAAGGAGAGTTATGCACAAACAATTAAAAAAATAATATGGAACTTTATTCTAATGTGTAATGCCACAATGTATAAGTAAAACTGTATATGTTCATGTATTAAAAAAATTTGTCATTAGTCTCACCGTAAAGCTTGGGGTTGTAAATAATGCTGCCGTGATCACTGTCCACCAAGCTGAATGACAGTAGACAGTAGTCCTCATTCTGTAAGGTGCACAATGCCGCCCGACTCTCCTCAAAATCTGACAATAAAAATATATTACACTTACATTATGAATTTAGCAGATGCTTTTAACACACACACATACACACATATATATATATATATATATATATATATCCAACGGGTCCTTAGCTTTGACGTGACACTCCACACAAGACCTGCGGGACACAAAGACAACATTTAAAAAAAAAAATCCCGTCGACCCCACAGAGAGTTCGTCTCTAGAGGAAGCTTTGTTTTGTGTTCTTTGTGAGTGTTTTTCCCAGAGATGCACTCTCTCATTTTCAGTCTCATTCTCTCTGTATTGCTCTATCACAGAGTCAAATGACCCGCAGGGTGACAGGACCTTTAGTGGGAAGGAAATGCAATACTGCAGAGCTGCCACATGCCTTTTGGTGCTCATATATGCCCTCTGGAAATGAGTGGACAAGACAACTCATAAAAACACACAGAGCTGCCCACACACACACACACACACAATAGTAGTTGCACTTCACAGCACACTCGTCCAACGGGTCCTTAGCTTTGAGGTGACACTCCACACAAGACCTGCGGGACACAAAGACAACATTTAAAAAAAAAAAATCCCGTCGACCCCACAGAGAGTTCGTCTCTAGAGGAAGCTTTGTTTTGTGTTCTTTGTGAGTGTTTTTCCCAGAGATGCACTCTCTCATTTTCAGTCTCATTCTCTCTGTATCGCTCTATCACAGAGTCAAATGACCCGCAGGGTGACAGGACCTTTAGTGGGAAGGAAATGCAATACTGCAGAGCTGCCACATGCCTTTTGGTGCTCATATATGCCCTCTGGAAATGAGTGGACAAGACAACTCATAAAAACACACAGAGCTGCCCACACACACACACACACACAATAGTCATGACAAAAATTGCTCTGAAAGCCGAAAGCTGGAGGTCCATTTAAAATAAGCGATAAGAAACAAATTTTCAAATACACTTACATGTATTAACGGCAATAATCACATAAAAAAATGTAACAAATATTCTTCTAATTAGGCCATTTATATAATGAAATTATAGAAATTATATAATAACATAAATATTAACATCTCACAATTTCTTGAACTTCTTATTACAAAAATATCAGACAGCCCACAATGATTCAAACCAGATTGTAGCCAAAACAATTGGCTTTCGATGCTGCATTTTCATTATGAAACTCAGTTTTAGTCACAGACAGACATGCATGTCTTTACCTGGGCAAGCTACAGATATCTCCACAGGTTGGGCACCTTTGGCACCACTCTCCTGAGGCTCCGGGAACGGTGCACTCGCACTTCCCACACACACACTTGCCCCGTCCGCTGCAGATGGAACCATCCAGAGACATGCATGAGCTGTTGCTGGTGCTGCAGTTACAGAACTCTCCCATCCAACCGCTGTGACACACACACTCGCCACAGTCACATTCCCCGTGACCTACACAAACAAGCATAAAGGAAATACATACAACAATATTTAAAAAAAGACAAAGAAATTAATGCTTTAAATCAGTATGGAAGCATTATATTGATCAAAAGTGACAATAAAGACATTTATAACACAAAAAAAAATGTATTTGAATTAAATGCATTTTTTTTATTTACTTTCCTTATTTATCACAGTTTCCACAGAAATATATACACTATTAATAATAATAATAGGAAATTTTTCTTGAGCAGCAAATCAGCATATTAGAATGATTTCTGAAGGATCATGTGACACTGAAGACTGGAGTAATGATGCTGAAAATTCATATCTGCGTCACAGGAATAAACTAATAATATTATTATTAAGTTATTTTAAACTAATAATATTTCACAATATTACCATTTTTACTGTATGCATGATCATATATTGCAGCATTGGTGAGCATGTGAGATATTAAAACATTAAATATAAAAAAACCTAAAAAATGTCATTATTAATAATAAATCAGTTTTATCAGTTCATAAGTTTGTTAATAATTACATGCTGATTCATTCATCAAAATACCATAATCAATGACCAATATTTGCAGAAAACAGCATTTACCTTAATTTTATTAGCATAAGTTAACATTACACTTTTAAGCTAGACAAAGGCTTCAAACATGAATTTTATTAATTTCATTCATTATTTTCACAGTTTTTTTAAATAATTGAATCACACATAATAATTGTGATAATCACCTTAAATCGACAGCCCTAAGGTAAATATAAAAAGCTCACATTGCACACTTGCACTGATATGCAAATATACATATAAACATGAGACGGCCCGCATTAAACCCCTCCGCCCGTGTCCTCCCGAGTACAGCAACTGTTTTAGCGATTGTCAGCGTGTTATTCTTTCATTAACATTCCACAGATCAAATATCCCTCCCACAGTGCCAGCGCTTTCTTTCCCTCCACTCAAAGGGTTACACTGGGTACTGACCTCCGCAAAGCTCTCCTCTGAACCTGAGGCAGGAAAAGTCGTCGCACTCGCAGTACGGCCCGTAAACGTGTCCAAAATTGGACGGATGGCACACACACTGTCCACAGAAACACTCACCCAGGCCGCTGCACATCTCCACACCTTCATGCGCCCTGCCACACACATAATCTTACATTAAAGTATGTCTGCCTGCCTCGCAGGAAACTCTCCATGACCTGCAGTTCTCACCTGCAGTCGCTGATTTGTTCTTGGCCTTCTGTGCACTCACACTTCGGTCCCACGAAGCCTGGATCGCACACACAGGTGCCACACTCCAGCGCCCCATGCCCTCGGCTGCAGAAGGTGCTGTTCGCTTCGGGGGTTTGATGACAGTCACACACACACTGAGACTCCAGTTCGATCTCCAGGGCATCTTGGAAACCCACCGGCCGCAAGGAAAACTGCCGTGGACCGGCAAGACAGCCTTTTAACTCGATCGTAACATTAAAAGATACCTGAGTGAGAAAAGATCACTTTTGTTTTGATTGCTTTGAGAAATTGTGTACGATTCAAATCATTTTCACAGGACATATTGCGCAAATATTTTCAAAACGTGTTCAACTTGTTCGGCGAGGTTTGTTTGTAAGTGTCAGGAAGTTTGATTGATTTAAACACTTGTTTAAATGCTGTCATGTCAGCACAATGGTGCAACAAACTATATCAATATTATAATCATTGCATTATAAATCATACATGATGTGACATGTTTGTTATTTCATCAAACAGATGTATGACACGTGACAGGCATTGTTTTTTGTTGTTGTTTTTTTTGTTTCAGTCGTGTTTTAATCTACCAAGAGAAGCATTACTGTAAGGAACGATTGAATGAAGAACTGACCACATCACCAGCTTTGACATTGGAGCAGTTTTTATGTCCGGTGATGATGGCCCCGTCCTGACAGAGTGCTGTGAAGGAAAGCTGCAGATCCTCAGTGTTGCCCAGCACCTCCAGATCGATCTCTGACCTCAGTTCCTGTCAATCAAACAACAGACACGAACAGTCCGTTAATGTGTGAAGAGTATCATTTTTGTAATATTTGAATGTAAAAACTTTCCTTCGAGCCAGTCATTACCACAAAATAAACCTTGACAGGGTGATCAGGACCCCAGTGAAGAGGCTGATATATAACTAGAGGCTGATATATAACATAACTAGAACTAAAAAAATGAAATTAGAAGTAAAAGAGAACTCATTTTGGTAAAAGCATGCGCTGTTTGAGAGAGCGATGTCAGAGAGGCGACCGCACGTGAAGACGGTGCTCATAGAGCAGGAGTATTGAACGAAGATATTTTTGCTGCTTTATAGGCCTTAATGGTTAAATACACACAGTTGTATGTGTCAAAATGCCTGTCTTTGCAAGCATTCATGTAAACACAGTAATTTAGGTCTTAAGTGAAAGCAAACAGCTGAGAAAGAAAACGTGTAACAGTAGATCCGGGCAGCTCTTAAAGTGACAGCAGTCTAATATTCCTGCTGTCTGTCATTCATGTTAATGCAAAAATAACTATATCATGATATATAACATTACCGTGAAATAAAATTACTCATATGATATAAAATTTTGGTCACCCCTAGAATCAAGTAATTCATAAAGCTGGGTATTAAAGAAAACAAATAGTCGAAACCCTGTGTCAGTTAATCAGGATCAAAAATGTATCAATGTTATGTAAGTATGTAAGATTGAGCACCTGAGCAGCTCATCGTGTGTCTGGCTGACTCATGTGCCGAGTCAGCAATACGAGCACACCAGGTGCCAACACATCCAGAGCGACGTTAGACTGTCAACTTTAATTCAAATAGTCTATTCTAGCTTATTTACTGAGGTTTGTCACAGACTTTACACTTCAATAATACGCCACCATAGTGGAGCTGTGTCAGGTAGGGTGGGATGTGCAGTGCTCAGGATGTTTCTGGAGGGGTGTGATGAAAATTAGAGTGCAGGCAGGGGTAAGAGCGAATGGGGGATGGAGAACGGAGATGAAGAGATCAAACAACAGCCATAGAACGAGTGCAGACACGCTCTGTGAACACGGCGATTCTCATGAAAATGAACCGAGGGGGTTAAAGGGAAGGGAAACGTTGAACAGATAAGATGCATGTTTGCATGAAAAATAATTCCCAATAAATAATTCTCTCCCACATTTGGTAAACCTAGTGAAAAATAAATATACTAAAATGTATTTGAAACATTTATTTCATGCTAAGTATACTACAAATACATTTACATATCTCTACACTTAATAAAAATACCCTGCAGTTGTACTTTTAGTATTCTAAATTGGAACAACTAAGTTTGTGCTTAATGCACTTTAATTGTGTGGAATTACAGTATGGTCTAACTTAAGTATCTGATTGTGCTAAAGTGGAACTATTGCAAGTGTACTTCAGGTACACTTTAAATATCTTGTATTTAAAGACCAATACAAAATAATACAATCCTCATCAACAGCGACATTAAAATACATTTTAGGCTTAATATTAAGAAATGTGCATTGTGCACAAGCAGTACTCCAAATAAAGTTTAATTATATTTTTTATATCAGCAAGTCTCGAGCGATATGTCAGTGAATATGTTAACAGATTTGAACTACACTTAGTATGAAATGCATGTATTTTAAATATATTACTTTTTTACTTAGGAATTTCTTCCTACTAATAATTACTTATTCAAAAATCATTTGTTTTCTGCTTTTTTGCATTTCCTCAAAGATTAACAAACAAATATAATAAATGAAAAATAAAAATATAATTTTATCTATCTATCTATCTATCTATCTATCATATTTTTATTTTTCCTTTATTATATTTTTTCTGTTTCTTTAAAAAATATATTTACAAAAAAAAATATTTATTTATTTTTCATTTGCAATTGTAGCTACGAATTTTACAGATAGAATTCAAAAGCTCAACCCATTTGAACTAATCACTAAATCACTCACAGTTTTAAAAAACCTCATCTATGTCAGCCTGCAAAATAACATTTCCTTAAATCAGCCAAACTGGCAAAACATTCAAAAGACCACAGAAATCCAAACGCTAAAGTTTGCAAAGCATAAAAAACACGTGCATGATCATCAAATGTGTGAATGTTGGCCTAATAGGGCCATTATTTCCATGAACCGTCCAGGAACACTCTCACATTACCCGTGATACACTGAGTCTTGTGAAGACTAACTGTACCTTATATGAGGTCATGATGAGTTGCAGAATGTTCCTTGAATCGGATGCCAACACCCCCACAGTAGCACCAGGAATCAGACTTGCATAATTCTATCAGAGAGGCAGAAGAAGGTGGTTAAACATCAACTGCAAACTCCTGGAGAGCAGCCACAGAATTTGAGATGTGGGAGAGCGATATGGAGAAAGGGAGGGAAGACGAAAGAAAAGGAGAATTTAGAGAACATAAAATATTTGTGTCATGAGAGGTCGGTCTGGGTGATGTGATAAAGACTGTGTTTAAGCATGTTGTAAAGAGAACTCAATACAATAGTGATTCATGCAGTCTATTCACACACTGACATCTTCCTTCAGGTCTTCTCAGGTTCCACATACACAGAAAAACACATGCCTTTTTGTTTGCCTCATTGTGGCCTAAAATGAATAAACATGAGAGAAAAATCCCTTACTCTTTTCTCACCTCATAGTTCTGCCTCTGATTGTCTGTCACAGCGAATATAAGGAGGATATTGTTTTCAACCAGTTTGTCCACAAGCTGCCCTAATGTTGGGTACTCCTAAATACAGATGAGAAAAGTACCAAATACAAGACACTCAGTCAGACAACAAATTCACAAGAAATACTGCAGGAGACAGGACATACCTACATTCATTTGTTTAAAAAAAGCATTAGTCAATTAATTAATTTAGATTTAAAATATAGTAATTAAACAAGAACTCAAAATAAATACGTTATAAAGGAATATTCCAGGTTAAATGCAACTCAAGTTACATTGACAGCATCTGACAATAATACTCCGAATTATTACTGTAAATGCTTTCAAGTCAAGTCATCGTTATTTACATAGCGCTTTTAACAATACAGATTTTCAAAGCATCTTTACAGTATTAAATAGGAAAATAGTGAGTCAATAATGCAGAGGGACAGCAGAAAACACTCAATTTTCAGTTAAAGGCAGTTCATCATTGAATTTAGTGATGTCATCATCCAGCTCAGTTCAGTTTACACAAAAATCACAAAAAAATAAAAAATTATATATATATATATATATATATATATATACATATACATAGAGATATATACATATATAGTGTATATATAATAAAAAAATGAAGTGCATATTTTTGTGAAAGTATTTACAGTAATAATACAGTAATAACCCAAAATTATTTCATGTCAACTACCAAAATTATTTTTTTCTAAAGCCATCAATGCTACCTTTGTCAGCTCAACACCACATTTAATTTGATCCAAATTAAAGGCCTTAACAAGGGTTAGTTCACCCAAAAATGAAAATTAGCCCATGAATTACTCACCCTCAAGGCATCCTAGGTGTATATGACTTTCTTCTTCAGACGAATCCAGTCGGAGTTATATTAAAAATTTACTTTGATCTTCCAAGCTATTTAATGGCAGTCAGTGGGTGTTGCAGTGCATCAGTACAAAAGAAGTGAAATAAAGCGCATCCATCCATAATAAAAAGTGTCTCACACGGCTCCGGTGGGTGAACAAAGGCCTCCTGTAGCGAACTGATGCGTTTTTGTAAGAAAAATAACCATATTTAAAACATAATAATCAATTTAATCTTGCTTGCGCTCACTGTTCCTGGCGGATGACGTAAGATGTCGGCGTTGCGCATGCGCCGCTCAGAAGTGACGAACGCGGAAGCGCAGGAGAGAGATCAAAACAAAACAACGGTCAAGAATTAGAAGTACAAAACGAGGATTTGTAAAGAAGAATGTTGGAGGATTTCGATATAAGCCAAGAGGAGACTGGTTTTCCTTTGCTAAAGTAAGGAAACTTTGCTTCTTTTGATCCTGTAAACAAACGTTGGTTTTCACGAGACTCACTGGCGCATGCGCAACGCTGAACTCATACATCAGCCGCCCGGAACTGCTTCCGTGTACAACTGTTGGCGCAGGCTAGATTAAAATGATTATTATCAAAAACGCATCGATTCGCTACAGAAGGCCTTTGTTCACCCCCCGGAGCTGTGTGAGACACTTTTTATTATGGATGGATGCACTTTATTTCACTTCTTTTGGACTGATGCACTGCAACACCCGCTGAATGCCATTAAATATCTTGGAAGATCAAAGACAATTTTTAATATAACTCCGATTGGATTCATCTGAAAGAAGGAAGTCATATACACCTAGGATGGTAAATAATGGGATAATTTTCATTTTTGGGTGAACTATCTCTTTAAGTGAAATATGTCTGTTCAACTGTACTACTTCTTGGTATTATCTTGGTGTCGATCGTTCAGCCGATGAAATACTGAAAATATGTGTTTCCAAAAACTCCATCTATCCCTCCCAGCCTTATTTGTTTCAAATGGAATACTACTATAGAGGTTAATTTCTAGTCATTGTAACCTGGAATATTCCTTTAAGTGATCCAAATTTCCTGAATACTCAGGAACTGAAGCTGCAGACTTCACCTTACCAGATGGGCAGTCATGGAATACTCATTATTGTTGTCCAAGTGACACTCTCCATCATTGGGGACAACGATGCCGGACATCTTACTGTCCATCCCAAAATGAGAATCTGCATCGCTCACGAACACCAACAGCTTCATGGAATCGTTCCGCCAGCCAATCCTGTCCTGAGTTGACAGTGACATTGCCAGAAGTTGAAAAAAATGGTGTTCTCTCCATAAAAGCGAAGCATTTGAAGGGAAACCGACTCACCCCGCACACCGCTGCCTGCATGATGGCGTCAAAACCGCACTCTGGCACGTCGATGTTCGCCGATACCTGCTGCTTTGAGATGATCTCATTGAACTTGTCAGTACTGCTCGTTAACGACAGAAGGTGTCGGTATCCAAATGTGGGGAGACATTCAAAATCAACACTCCTGCAGAAGAGAAGCATGATTAAAAATGGGTTTCTATTGTCTGAAACGGTTCATCGCTCACTTCTAAATGGACGATGATGTCATATGACGTAACTCACTGAGCTCAGTGGTCATAAACATGATCGGTTGAAATTAAATCACACTTTCCCCCCATTGATGTCCCATTCATCTTACTTCTTGGGTTTATACTGGCAGACCCCTCAGATCTGGCTAAGCTGGTGTATTATGGGAATCACCTGCAGGGATTGGCCAACTCTTCGCGTGTTATCTTGATGAAAGGCAAAACTGGTTTCTCTACAAAGGAACCGAATCCTAGTCTGAATTTGCTGGTAAGCTTAGCCATCTCTTTTGAGAGCGTCGAGCCCAAGTCTTTGATCATTTTCAGATCATCATACATAGACGCTGACAGGTCCATCAGGTAATAAATGTCCACCGGATGGTCCTCCGGTTGCTGCACTCGAATCTGAAAGGTCAGCTGGCTTCCTGTGGAAGAGAAATGACAAACAAAGCTCAAAACAACATGTACAAATGTTTTCCAGGTCAGAGTGATCTTCGGCACCAGTAGACATTGTGTAGTTCATCTGTGGTTGGTTTTCTGTCACTTAATGACTAAATCTTTCTAATCTTACATTCAGGGGAAGTACCTCAGCAGGAGAAGCAGCTGTGGGTAGAGAGACATTTCTTTGATTTTCAAATCTGTGTCACCCATTTTTTTTACCTGGTCTAAGCTGGAGGCGCATCTTCTGTGGTGCGATGTACGAAACGTTAGTGTGGCCGGCGCTCTTTCCTAAGCCTTGATCCTTCAGTATTTTGACGTTCGTGACGGGGAACTCCACGAATTCGCCAGAGCATCCCTTCTGAAGAAGAGCCTCGGGTGTGTCGCATCTCTCGTCGATTGAAAAGAAGTCAGTGAAATTCTGGATAAAAAATAATTTTCATTATTTTTGGTAACACTTTACCAGTTTTTTGTTGCATAGCGACATAAGACAGCTAAACTAAAATGTATATATTATATTATATTATATTATAGTGATTTGACTTTACAATGTAAACCTTTTTTCTAAATTAATAAGGTAATAAAACAAATATTATTGGAGTATGTTGTACATGAATATACTCTTTTAGTCTTTCTGCTTTAAAATTTCACATTGTGAAATTTACTAAAAATTTCTGAGTAAAAATGGTTGAAAAGCAAATCCTTTGCTATTTTTTCAGTGTATTCCCTAGAAAAAATATCCTATGCTATAATTTATTAAAAATACATTTATTTAATTCTAAGTATTAACTTTTTTATTGACACATCACTTAAGACTTACTGATATAAATTATAATTACACTTTATTTGGAGTATTTCTTTATTGCACAATGCACGTTTCTTAATAATATGCCTAAAATGTGTTTTAATATCACCATTAATAAGGATTGTATGGTCTCTGTATAATATCGGTCTTTAAATGCAAGATATTTAAAGTGTACCTGAAGTATACTTGCAATAGTTCCACTTTAGCACAACCAAATATACTTCACTATATATCTTTATATGGACTTCTGTACAGTTAAAGTGCATTAAGCACAAAATTAGTTGTTCCAGTTTAGCAGACTTTTAAGTATAGCAGCTTAGTATACTAAAAGTACAACTGCAGGGTATTTTTCCTGAGCATAAATATGTAAATGTGTTTGTAGTATACTTAGCATGAAATAAATGCTTTAAATACATTTTAGCATTTTATTTTTTTACTAGGGTTATCCATAATAGTGGAAGTTTGTCTTTGGCTTCACACCAGTGGTGCAACATATACATACAGCTGTGACTGACAATAAGATTTTAGTGCATGTGCCCTATAGCGCCTTCCTCATGGCTATTTTTCAATTAAAAAGAGGATGTGAAGAATCATTTACTACCATTGTTGCTACAGTGTATTGTACTGTACTACTTCATTTTTTTGGAGTGAACTATCCCTTCAAGAAGAGTTTGTTCAGTGCATTCTGAAACATTTTGAAAGCAAAAGCAGTTGTTACCTGTAGTGTGCACCAGGCGCACTGTGGCCCCAGCTGCAGACACTCGTCACAGGAGAGAGCGTTAAATTGAGAACACGTCCCTGCACACGACACAGCACAGCACAGCGTGGTTTGTGGATGCGGTTCGCTTTTCTCAAAGCAACAAAGTTTCTCACGCAACATCAAAACCATAGAGAGTCAGCTGATATATTTGCTCTCTGCCAAAAAGTAGTCTAAGCAGCAAGTAAATTTACACTAAAAATGAATCTTAACTCTGAACCTGCACAGGTTCTATTCTATTACAACAATTTATGCCTACACTGAAAAAAATGTTTCATTCATCCAATTAAAAAAAAAATGTGGGTAATGAAAGGGCAAGTTATTTATTTTTCATTGGCTCAAGTTAAAAAATACCCAAAATTGTTTTAATTGGATGAATGAAACATTTTTTTCAGTGTAGGTCTTTTTAGGTGAAACCAATAAGCAGCAGATGAGATGGACTGACGCATTTGTGAGTGCAAAACTGCTTACACTAGAAAAAGAAAATGGGTTTGTGGTTCACTCCCAATCTCTGTCTTCCCAGCATGCACTAGGGCATGAACAGCAGCATTTTTTGGACTGTTTACAAGTTTAATATGTATTATTTTTGATGTTAATTTTGTTGTCATGATTAGTAACGTCTTGTCTTGTGATGTCAGGATGAGTTTGTTCCTTTGTGTTTTATGTACCAAGCTTCAAGGTCTGTATGTAACATTTGAAGGTGATTAATATCTTCACATAATGAGCATTTATATAATTATGTGACAGTAACAAGAACTTTACTCTATTTACAGTACATAGCTACATTTCTCATGAAAATATGTGAGATGAAGCGTACATATTAAACAAATTTAAATGTAAATAAGAGCAACTATAGCCTTAGAAGATTTAAAATGACAGATTTGAATCATCTAAATAGGTTTGGTCATATTGGTGCGGATGTTCAAAATGATTTAATTTTTAAAACAAATATGGTTTAATAAAAAATATTGAAGGAAATAAGTTAGCTAAAAAAAAACGTAATATTGCTCTAAATGATTGATCATTTTAAAGGCGGATTTAAACGCTGAATGAGGAACGAAACTGCACGTAGCCTATGTTCTGTATTTGTGTGATTGATCAAAATGTCTTCAGTCTTACCTCCGACAGTGCCGAGCCAGAAGTGAAGGACAATGTAGAGTGAAACAATCCCCATTAGTCCTCACGGTTTCTGATCACAGGAGAAAAAATCAAGTTCATATTCTCAAGCAAGCAAACGCGGGATGCGAGCATGTAAGCGCGAGCGGGTCTGAGCTCACCTGGACAGACAGACTCAGCGCGTGCGCTTACCTGCTCAACCTTTATATGCACTTCCGTGCAAGTGAGAACACAACAGGTAAGTCACTCTCTCACAAGGGCACATATCTCTCTCACACACACACACACACACATATGTGTCTCAACACAACAATCTTGTGATGTCAGGATGAGTTTGTTCCTTTGTGTTTTATGTACCAAGCTTCAAGGTCTGTATGTAACATTTGAAGGTGATTAATATCTTCACATAATGAGCATTTATATAATTATGTGACAGTAACAAGAACTTTAGTCTATTTACAGTACATAGCTACATTTCTCATGAAAATATGTGAGATGAAGCGTACATATTAAACAAATTTAAATGTAAATAAGAGCAACTATAGCCTTAGAAGATTTAAAATGACAGATTTGAATCATCTAAATAGGTTTTGTCATATTGGTGCAGATGTTCAAAATGATTTAATTTTTAAAACAAATATGGTTTAATAAAAAATATTGAAGGAAATAAGTTAGCTAAAAAAAAACGTAATATTGCTCTAAATGATTGATCACTTTAAAGGCGGATTTAAACGCTGAATGAGGAACGAAACTGCACGTAGCCTATGTTCTGTATTTGTGTGATTGATCAAAATGTCTTCAGTCTTACCTCCGACAGTGCCGAGCCAGAAGTGAAGGACAATGTAGAGTGAAACAATCCCCATTAGTCCTCACGGTTTCTGATCACAGGAGAAAAAATCAAGTTCATATTCTCAAGCAAGCAAACGCGGGATGCGAGCATGTAAGCGCGAGCGGGTCTGAGCTCACCTGGACAGACAGACTCAGCGCGTGCGCTTACCTGCCCAACCTTTATATGCACTTCCGTGCAAGTGAGAACACAACAGGTAAGTCACTCTCTCACAAGGGCACATATCTCTCTCTCACACACACACACACACACATATGTGTCTCAACACAACAACCTCTCTAACGCATTTGACATCACGTTTATGAGTAAAAAAATAAATGAATTACCAGTGGTCGTTTCAATATATAATTCTGACGAAGTCACCTTTTTGGTAGTCTAGACATGATCAAGTTTGTTTAAAACACGCCTGGCAGTGAAGAGCCGTGACTCAGTCCGTGTCTGAGACCACAGAAAGCACAGACATATATTGATAAAACAATGTCAATGTTTAACCGGTCAAGTTCTACAAAATGAGCACAGGACATTGTTTTCATAATTCAAAAGAATGACCAAATGTAATGATTAACATTCAATCGTAAATCCGATCACAAGTGTGAACGGGTGGATGAGGCCTCATAATAGATTGTATTGTTATTGTAACAATAGATTCAATTTTTTTCATTTTTACAATCGTAATTCAAAGTCAGCATGGAAATATTGTAGCTCAGATGTTGCTCTTTCATAGCCTAGACTTGGTTACATTTCAAAGTATCAGCATTGTTTCTTCTAAAATTCCTTGGCATCTTGGCACAATTTTGAGACATTGTTGAGAAGTCTTCTGAAACTCTGGCCACATATGTGAGATTACTGGGGACTTTTTCTTAGGAGAGTAGTTTGGGAAGCACCATATTGAACCATTTTCTCCATTTTCGCTGAATTTAATCAAATTTCTACAATTGAAATGACTTAAATTTTCAAAGATTGCATTTTTCTTTCCTGAAGTGTGCATCTGTGACAGGAAGATCTACAAGAAAGATCTACTGCCTAATTCAAAAGTGAGCATCGCTATGCTCTACTCACCCAGAAGGGTCTTGTTTGTGACAGATTGTATCGTTTTATATTTGTATTTAATTATATTTATATTTTATGCAATTTATATTAATTATATCTTTATCGAATGTATATGTTTATTTGTATTTAATTACTAATTTATTAAAAATACCTCACTATTCAAAATAAAGAACAAGGATGCGCCACTCAGGATCATAAATGGCAAAATTCATGACCAGTGACCATCATACCCTTCACTAACAGGCCATTTGTAAAAGGATTTAATTGATCACTTTCATTTAGAACAATGGCTTTTGGAATTTAACTTAAATGCAAGATAGGGATAGGATAGGATTGGATATAGGATAAGGATAAAATGGGACAGGATAGAATTGGAAAAGGATAGGATGGGATATAGGATGGAATACAGTAGAATAAGATATGATAGCAGTGTTGTAATACTCAAGTCCGGAAAAGGCCACTCTCAGACTCAAGTTTGTCTCGAGTCCAATTTTGATCTGGTCTAGTCTAATAATTCAAAGTGTATGATCCTGGAAGCGTATTTGAGACATGAAACAAAAAGACTGATCCCTATTCAATCATATATCCTATCCAACCCCATCAAATCATATATATCATATCCTGTCCCATCTTATATTCATCCTATCCTGTCCTATCCTATATCCCATCCTATCAAATCTCGTCATATCATATATATCTCCCTGTCCTATCTTACTAGATCCTATCATATTATATAATTAAATATCCCATCCTATCCCCAACTATCCTATTGCATCTAACCTATTTTATTCTTCAGGTGTATCCTATCTGATCCGATCCGATCCTATCCTATCCTAGAATGCCATGTCCTCTCTTAATATATCATATCTTATATCCCATCCGATTAATCCTATCTTATCCTGTTGTATCCTACAGGTATGTCCTATCCTATCGTACCATATCCTATCAAAATCTATCATAACCTATATCCCATTCTACCTATCCCATTCTATCCTATCCTATCCTATCCTGTCCTGTCCTGTTGTATTTTACTGGTATATCCTATCCTATCTTATCTTATCCTATCATACCATATCCTATCCTAATCTATCCTACATATCATCCTACATATCCTATCCTATCCTGTTGTGTCCTACAGGTATATCCTATCCTATCCTATCTTATCCTATCATACCATATCCTATCCTATCCTGTTGTGTCGTACAGGTATATCCTATCCTATCTTAGCCTATCCTATCATACCATATCCTATCCTAATCTATCCTACATATCCTATCCTATCCTGTTGTGTCCTACAGGTATATCCTATCCTATCCTATCTTATCCTATCATACCATATCCTATCCTATCCTGTTGTGTCTTACAGGTATATCCTATCCTATCTTAGCCTATCCTATCATACCATATCCTATATCCCATCCTATCCTATCGTACTTTGAGCATAAAAAATATTTAGCCTTATATTTTATATTAAATTTGAATTTGACTGTATGTGTGACTCTGGTTTTAACTTTTTAACCTGCTCAAAAGCCATAAACACAATTATTAAACTATATAAACTTTAACCTTTTCCCATTACAGCAGATCACATTTGGACACTCAAGATACCCTGCTCAAAGCACATTTTGGCTGTATCAGATTGGAGTAACTCACCCCTGGAGGCCTCTGCAGCTAGCATGCTGTCCTTTCTCTCAATACCAAATCCACAGCAGCAAGTGGGATACGGCGGTACTGGAGTATGTGAATGTCTGTCCGACTGGAAGTGTGTGTCGGAAGCAATAGTACGCTCAAACTATCACAGCGGCTTTATGGAGCATGACGCCTGCGCTCCCTTCCTCACCCCCTTTTCTCACATACACACACACTTTTCTGCCTGAATGACGGCAGCAACTGCAGGACTACACACACACACACACACACACACACACACACAGTGTGAAGCTTCTTCATTAGTGAGAGAGAGACTGACAGGCCAAATGGGCTTGTGTGACTGTGGATTTTGTTGAATGTGTGTGCGCAGCATGTAGGTCAGTGGGGTTTTTCTATTGTCTGTCAGACAGCGAAACTGATTCTGTGGTAAGTAAAATCCACCATCAGTGTCAGGTGCTTTTTTTAGTTTAGTAACAGGTCTTAGCATGCCCAGTATGTGCGCGTGCCTCAGGTTTTGCCAACACTGGGGCCTTAAAGAAATATTCCATGTTAAATACAAGCGAATTTAGTGACGTAATGTTTTACACTTTGAGGCACTTTTGGCTTTCTGAAGATGCTAAATTACATTTTAATGAAATTTTAAAAACACAGTAAGCATTCTGTGAGGGTTAAGATATAGAAAACCTCCTGAGCTCAGTATAAAAACCAAGTAGAAAGTCAGTAGAAAGTCCCCACTGTGCTAGAAAAACAAGCATGTATGTGTGTGTGTTGGAGGGCTGCAGTCACACTCACCAGAAATGAATGGCACAGATTCACTCCTCATTCTTCCTCACTGAACTATGAATGGAACGCAGAGAAAAAGAGAGAGAATGAGAGGCACTGAGGAAATGTCTCTTTTATATAAAGTCAAAGGGAAAATAATGTGGGCAGCGAGAGCTTTGTGGTTGTACTCTTTCACACACACACACACACACACACACACATACTTGCATATGTGGTTTATGGGGACTCTCCATAGGTGTAATGATTTTTATACTGTACAAACTGTATTTTCTATCGCCCTACACTTAAACCTAACCCTTACAGAAAACTACTGGCAATTTTTGAATTTCATAAAACACAGTTTTGTATGTTTTTTAAGCCTTTTGTTTTATGGGGACACAGGAAGTGTCCTCATAAATCATGTTTACGTTGTAGTACCCATGTCATTATACACATTTGTGTCCTCATAAACCATATATACCAGTACAGAAGTACAGAGCTTCTTACATGTTTAACTACATTTGTGAAGACGTTTTATTACTAAAGACTAAGAAACCAAACCCCAATAAGAAAAAGTTATTTTGTTTAATAAAATAAAATTATACAATGTTTAATGGCATACAATTATTTTATTTACTATATATACAATATAGTAAAGGACTTTTACTGGAGTTTATTGATTTTTTATTTGTTATTTTATTTTATGCAGATTTTGCACACTATTTTCCCCCCTAAGTAGCTACACAAAACCACAAAGACACACATATCTCTTATCTGGCTAGTTCAAAATGCCATCCAACACAAATAGCTTTATAATGAACTTTGACTTTTCAAATGTTTTATTTCAGGAATACAACAGCAAAATTTGCTCTTTG